GGGGCGGCGGGCGCGGGGCCGCCGGAGCTGAGCGCCCACACGCTCTCCGAGCAGCTGAGGGAGAAGGAGGAGAAGATCCTGGCCCTGGAGGCTGACATGACCAAGTGGGAGCAGAAGTACCTGGAGGAGTGCACCATGAGGCAGTTCGCCATGGACGCGGCGGCCACTGCAGCCGCCCAGAGGGACACCACCCTCATCAGCCACTCCCCCAGGCACTCCCCCAACAGCAGCTTCAACGAGGACCTCCTCCTGGCCACCCACAAGCACCAGGAGATGGAGAACAGGTAGGCCCACCTCCCTGACAAGCTCAGCCCATCACCCTCTGCCTGGGCACTGCTCCCATCCTCCTCCCCAACTCCAGCTCCTCTCCAACCTTCTGCCTCTTCTCCTCGCCAGGTTAAAAGCCCTTCATGCCCAGATCCTGGAGAAGGATGCTGTCATCAAGGTGCTGCAGCAACGCTCACGGAGGGACCCCAGCAAAGCCCTCCAGGGCTCCCTGAGACCAGCCAAGTCCGTGCCCTCCATCTTCTCTGCCTCTGCCACCCTGAGCTGGCCAGGGTCTGGGCAGAGCGAGCGACCGGCCGAGGGCAGCTCCCGGGGCAGCACAGGTAAACAGAGTCACCTGCCTGGCCCCACCTCTGGTTTCCCTTGTGGTTTTGGAAGCAGAGAGCAGAGATTTGCTAACGGTGTCTCCTCCAGCAGGCAAAGCCAGCAGTGAAGGAGCAGCAGTGCCCACCAGCCTCCCCCTGCCCTCCCACTCCAAGCGCGGCAGCAGGGACGGCAGCACCCAGACTGACGAGGGTGAGGGCCTGGAGCACCCACCTGGATTGCTGGGTGAGTCCCTGGGAAGGGCAGGAGAACAGTGGGAGGAAGGGACATCTCTGGGCCAGGACATCATCTCTCTGCTGGGACAGCTCTACACCAGCCCTGTGTCACCTGCTGATTCGTGGAGAGATGTCCTGGCAGGGAGTTGGCGGCGGGGAGGTGTCCTAGAGCTGGGGGTGGGGTTGGCATCTAGGAGATGGGCTTTCTCCAAGCACCTGTGGGTTTTTTTTAAAGGTCCCAGCTCCATCTGGTGGGTTTGAGTCCCTGCAGTCGCTCCTTGCTTTTTTATTTTTGAGGTGTTGGTATTTTGAGGTGTTTATTTTGGAGAACTGGTTCCTTGCACACCCTGGGGGGAGGCTGGGCAGCAGCACACTCACTGCCAGCCCTTCATGGGGGTGGGCACCATGTCTGTGGCCTTCACCTCTCCTCCAGCTCTCACCTTCTCTTTCTGCAGAGAGCTCAGCCACTGCCAGAGCCCCAGACCTGTCCGACATGGTGGAGATCCTGATATAAGGCCACCCAAGGGGCTGCACGTCAGCCCCTCTGCCCTCCCTGCCTGCTGCACAGGCACAGCTGTCCTGCCTGCACCTGCTTGGGATGGAGGAGCCTGCAGGAAGGACCAAGCCTGGAGCTCAGCAGTGTCCCTGTGACCAGTCTGAATGGGTGCCCCCATGCCTGGAAGAGCCACCATCCCCACTCAGCACCCACACGGGTTCCCAGCTGTGCGGGACACGCTGGAGCCTGGGGACCCCACAGAGGGAAGGGGCTCCTGACCCCCCTCCAAATGCACCTGGACTTTGTGTGACAGGAGCAGGAGTATTTATCCCTTCAGCCTCTTCTCTTTCCTAAGCTGGGGAATGGTGGTTCTTCCCATCCCCTCCCTTGTGGGCTCCATCTCCATCCCTGTCCCACATCTGGGCCTTGACCATCTGCATCCACCCAAGTGCTTGAGCTTCGACTGGAATTTCCCACTCTGCTCACCTAAACTGTACCTACAAGGTGATGTCTCCACATGAGGGCAGAGCCAGGAGGGATCCTCCTGTGGGTCCCATCAACCACCTGGATCCACGTGGCCAAGCCAAGTGCCAGGAGCCCCACACCTCCATCCTGCCTCTGGGATTTCAGCAGGTGAAAACAACAACTGAGGGAACATAAGGTGGAGGAGAAACCTGGGAAGAAGAAGTGAAGCACTTGGAGTGATCCAAGGGTGGCTGATGGAGGTGGTGGGATGTTCCTCCCTTCTCCTGGCTTCATCCCACCACCACATCCCCAGCTATTGGCAGCTGGATTCTGCCTCTAGCCCAGTGCCCACCTTCTGAGCTTGGGCACTTCCCGTCCTTGCCCTTTGTGTGTGTGTGTGTGTGTATATATATATATTATTTTTTCTTTCTCCTTGAAATGTGCATTTGCTGGACAACTGCATTTTTTATTTTTCTCTGCCAGACACGTAAAAAATGCATTCAGTTCTTGTGCATTGTTTACAAAGTGGAAAACAAACCAAAAAAGAAGATGTAAGAGGTAAAAAAAAAACCCCAAACCCGACGGACCCCAAACAAAACACCCTTGACTTAATATATTTTATATGAATATTGGTATTTCTTTTGAAGTATATTTTTTTCGTGCTGTGAACTTGTTTTTGGGGGTGTTTTTTTTTTCCCTTTTCCCCCTGCCAAAGAGTTTTGTGCATTTTTAAGTTATCTTTGAGTATTTAAATGTAAACCTGGCTGCTCCGTTCTGCCACCCTATACCGAGATTGCTGTCGCATTCCACTTGGTATAACAATATTTTCATTAAAAAAAAAAACCCAAATATTGACCCCCAACTCTTTTTTTGATCCCCTATGGGAAGGGTTTTTAGGGGTGGTGATCCCCTGAAATGCTGCTTTTCCCAGTTTCCCAAGCAATGATTCTGGGTGGAAGGGGGGGGAGGGAAATGACTCAAGGGTTTCTCTGTGTTCCCCAAAATCCCACTGGGATTTTCTTCACCTTGAGGAGGGGAAAAGGATGGAGTTGGCTGGGAATGTTCATGTGGTGTCCTCAGTGTGTAGTGCTCTAGTAACTTCATCCTGGTGGGATCTTCCTCTTCCTTGCAGGACCTATTCCTGCCTTCCTGAGCCCCCACTGTGGGGACTCCTTGGTGGCCACGTCTTCAAGCAGCCCTGGATCTGGTTCCCAAGTTCTCCCCTGGCTTTGTCAGCCACCTCTTTAAGTCCTTCCAACCCTGCTTGGTTCTTTGGCCTTCTGGAAGACCAGAAGTTCTGGTGTTTGAGCCAGGGCTGCCTTAGGACAGGCACAGCCATGTCGTGCTGCTCCCCAGCCCTTCTCCTCTGAGCTGTTGGGTTGCTGCTACCATTGGGCTTTTCTTAAGAGTTGTCACATTGATGTTTTCCAAGGGACATCCCTGGGGACTCAGCTCTGGCTGTTTTGGGTGCTGACAGCAGGGCTGGAGCCTTCACCAGCTGGGCTGGGGCTTTCCCTTTGGTGCATCCCTCAGCATTTTTTTTTGGTCCCTGAGGACCAGGAGAACTTGTGGAAGAGACTTCAGTCAGATGATGCAAAACAACAGGGTAAGAAACCAACTTTCCTGCCAACCCCTCCCATGAAGGCAGCTTAGGGCTGCTGAGGATCAACCAGTCTTGGTGGGACTGCCATCCTGAACACCAGCTCAGCTCTACCTGTCCCACCCTAGAACGTGGAAGGAGCATGGCTGGTAATTTGGGGTTTCCTGTGGCTGTGGGACAGGTCTCCATTCTTCTTAGAGAGACTGGGATCCATGGGAAGCTCAGAGCCAGGCTCCTTCTTCCACTCCTGGCTTCTGAGCTTTCCAAGCAGGAAAACAAGCCCCATGCACAGGGCAACTCTGAAAGGCCCCCTGGAAACGGGGGCTGGAAATGGGGGATGGGACTGGGTGGGAAACTCCTGGAGAGCTGCTGCCTGGGGATGTGTTGGGGGTCCCAGCACCCTCTGGCCAGGGGCTGTACCTGCCCTGCCTGCTCCAGAGCTCCTGCTGCCCGGGAAGCCCTGCAGCATTCCTGGCATTCCTCAGCTCTCACGCCCCACAATCCAGGTCTGGCTCTTTGCAGGCAGCATTCCCAGCCCAGGGATTCCAGGAAAACAGGGTTCTGGGGAGAGTTTTTCCCTCTTCCTGGTCATTCTATCCTCCTGCCCTTCACCCCGTGGATCCCAATCCTCTGGGAGCCAGAAAGTGTTTGTGTGTGTGAGCAATGGATGAATGAGGTGGCAAGAGAAGGGTGCGAAAATGGGGAGGGAAAGGAAAATGCCCAAGTCCGTGGGTAAAGGCAGGAGCTGGGCTGTGGGGAGAGGCTGCCCAGAGCCTGGCAGGTTGGTGCAGGAGGTGACAGATCTTGCTGCTCCCCTGAGGCTGCAGCAGGAGGATCCCTGAGGTTTGTTTGTTTTGGGAGGGTTGCTCTTCAGCCAGGGCACCATAGAGCTCCAGGCCTTGGCTGCCTGGGGGTGTCAGCACCTGTTTCATCCCTCCCCACGGGCACTTCCCTCTGCCCTTCCCACGCCATCCCACTGGGTTTTGTGGAATTGTAGAGTCCCAGAGTGGTTTGGGTTGGAAGGGACCTTCAAGATCACCCAGTCCCACCCCCTGCATGGGCAGGGACACCTCCCAGCAGCCCAGGTTGCTCCAAGCCCCATCCAACCTGCCCTTCAACA